AGTAATGGCAATGCTCTACACCTACCATGTGCACACAGGTTGCTTCTGAGCAGAGGGACCGCGGCTGTGGGGGGTAGGAGGGGGTGGAGGGCAGGGCAGGGGCTCGAGCATGTGTCAGGGCTAGCCTGGGGCAGAGCCAAGACAAACCAAGCATACAGCTGGGGGAGCAGCTCCTGTCTGGTGGCCCCTTCTACCCACTGGAGAGCAGTGCCAGGCCATCCTGAGCAGTGTACACGGTGCAGTCTTGCCCCAGCAGCACCTGCAGCTGGATAAGGGCGCTAAGAAGCTGGGCAGTGCGATGCTGGAGGGATTTTTAAAAGATGGGATTTTTAAAATACTCTGCACCGGACAGAATCAAGGTGCTGTTGACTTCAGGGGGAACAGAAATGGAAAATCCTACACTTCGTGCTCTGCAGTCAGTAAGCACTTAGCCCCGCTGTCATGAGGATTACTAGAGCAGGGCTATCACCCACAGGTACTGTACTGAAAGGTGCATAATATAACTCGTTGGATTATCATACTCAGTGCACAGTCCTCAGTGGTTCAAAGTCTAGTTGGGAGATAGGTATCAAGTGGGATTCCCCAAGGGTCTGTCCTGGGTCTGGTATTATTCAACGTCTTCATTGATGATTGGGATGCTGGGATCGAGTGCGTGCTTACCAAGACTATGGATGACGCCAAGTTGGGTGGAACAGCAGACACTCTGGAGGGTAAGGCTAGGAACCAGAATGACCTGGATAGGCTGGAGAAATGGTCCACAATCAACCGGTTGAGATGCAACAAAAACAAGTGCAAAGTCCTTGGGACAGAATAACTTCATGCACAAACGTAGACTGGAGAATGACTGGCTAGGCTGCAGTATTGCAGAGAAGGACTGGAGGGCTATGGTGGTCCATAAGCTGAATATGACCTAACAGTATGCTCTTGTTGCAAAAAAAAAAAAAAAAGCCAGCAGCATCCTGGGGTGTATCAACAAAAGTGTCACTTGCAAATCAAGAGAGGGGATGCTTCTGCTCTGTTCAGCACGGCTGAGGCCTCAGCAGGAGTTGTGTGTCCAGGTTTGGACCCCACACTTCAAGAAGGATGTGGACAGTTTGGAAAGAGTCCAGCACGGGGCAACAAAAATTGTCAGGAGCCTGGGAGACCAGACTTCTGAGGAAAGGCTGAAAGCCCTAGAGTGATTTAGCCTGCAGAAGACAAGACTGAAGAGGGATTTGATAACAGTCTTCAAATCCCTGAAGGATGGTTATAAAGAGGATGGAGATGGAGATGGGCTTTTCTCTGTGGCTGTAAGGGACAGGACTAAGGCCAGTGGACTCAAGCTGCAGCAGAGGAAATTTAGGCTGGAGATTTCCTGACGATGAGGATGGCCAGGCATTGGAAGAGGCTGCCTGGAGACATTGTGCAATCTCAGGGATGATCCTGCCTTGAGCAGGGGGCTGCACTACATGACTTTGTGGGGTCCTTCCAGTCCTACTTTCCTACGATCCCAGGTACAGGGAATGGAAACAGCAAGGCAAAGCAACTTGCCCCAGGCCACACCATGAGTCAGTGTCAGAGAGAGGGATGAAAACCTAGCTGCCTAATCGTGTGCCCCAACCACCACCTCTTGCCACTAGACCACGCTGCCTCTTGTCTTGAGGCCACTGGACTGTAACCCCCAGCAGCTGCTTACCCTTTGAAGCCAGGCAGTTTGATTTCAAGGGCAGAAAGTCAAAAAAAGAAAAAGAAAAAAGAAATAAGCACTTCCCTTCACTCATCGCTCCTGCCTGCTTAGCATCCCCAAAGGTACCGGTGAGAAGCCAGGACGGGCTGTCAATACAGCAAGCAGCCATATGTCTCCAGACCACATGTGGAGAGCAAGATAGAAGAAGTCTGCCTCACTGTCCGAAAACAGTAGAGGCCAAAAAAGAGCTTTCTAATACTAGGTTGGAGCCATAGCTGATTAAAAACAATAGTAGTTTTTCCTTTGGCTTTAGTGTCTGTTGACTCAATCTGAAGCAAGTTCCTATCTTCTAGTTGTTATCTCCCCCCTTTGCTGCCCATATTCTCCCAGTACAAAAGGAAATAACTTCTAGTTCCACCAGTTGCAATAAGTTCACAAACCATGAGGGCATTGTTTATTTTGCTTCCTCTCTTGGGATCCTCTTGCCAGGATGACTGCATTAAATTTTATTGAATGCTGCAAAATCTTTTCAATCTTTAACATCTTTATCGGTCACGGCATGAGAATACCCTAGAGAGGGGAAGGGAGAGTGCATATGTCTAAAGAGCCACTGCTGTGTGACTGTGGAAAATTACTATGGCAACAGACTGAGGGATAGCCCTCAATAGTGAGAGAGCTCTTTCAAATCATCTATTAACTCGGAGACCAAAAAAACCCCAAACAAACCCCCAAAACCCCTCACCAACCCAAACACTTGTTCCTGATTTCCCCACAAATCAGCAGTGTATTGCAGTGATATAGCAAAGGTCACAAAGGAAACCTGTCCATCAGTGCATGCACATTGCATTTAGATGTGCAATTAAAATGATGCAGGACCGGACTGATGACAGATGCATGAGCTTCATGGAGATCCAGCTGGTATCACTTGGACTTGCACAGCCTGTCAGCAGCCTCCGCCTGACCTCAGCCTCTGGACTCAAGCCTGGCATCTATACCTGCACAGCCAGCAATGGGAACATTTTGCACCGATGCACATCAGTGCTTGTGGTTTGTGGTTCATATCCCAAGAGTTGGACTATATGATTGAAATTCTCCCTTTGTTTCTTCTCAGTGCCAATGCAATATTCATGCTTTTTTTTTTTTTTGGCTGCAGTAGAAAAGCAAACGTAAGGAGAACTGGTTGGGAGCTTCTCAGAAGATAGGTTTTTTTTAAAAAGCCAGAACTCTGCCTCAGAAAGAGACTGGGGAACAGATTTGCCCACCCTGAAAACTTTTTGGAAAAAAAAAAAATCTCAAGGAGTTGAACTGTGTCATTTCATCACCTTCAACGTGAAGAGCTTCCTTTTTTTTTGAATCAAAGCATCTTTTCGGTTAGAAGGTTGTAAAATAGTAAAAAAAAAAGAAAAATAAGAGGTTAAAAAGAATAAAAGTTCAGTATCAACAGAGAACATTTGAAGGTACCCAATGTATTTCTCTGAACCTAATCAGATTTTAATTTTTCACATTTTTGATTCACAAAAATATTTGGGCTTGTGCCTTTTTTCCTAACACAGGATGAAAAAAATGTTTGAAATATTGAAAAATCTTGCCAGACAGGAAAATCATTCCCTGCTGTGCTCTAATCTCATTCCTCTAGTGCGTATGTTAGTGCTGTACCCATCTGCCCACCCCTGCAGAGGACACGAGTCTCATACTGTTGGCTAGGTGGCCTTGCTGTTTTAATTCAAGCTGCAGCAGCTCATGCTTCTAGGTCTGCTGGTTCCAGGGTCAAGCCCGTGGTGGGTTGACCAAGAGAAAAGCCATTGCACATAGGCTGCCCAACACCAGTAAGATGGTAAACCTGTGCAAAGTTCCTCTGCAGGCAGGATCCTTTGTAGAAAGTGACCCATACCTGTGCATCTTTGCAAGCGTGCGTCTCTTCAGTGGGACCAATACTTGTAACAAGCCCTGCCCTAGCTTGCCTTAAAGACAAGCATTCTGTTCTCAGAGTGATGACGATGACGACACACAGCATGATGGGCCTGACCTGGCTACTGAACTCAATTGAGGGATGGTTGTCAATGACTGATGGGCTTTGGATCAGGTTCCACAGGCTCAGATGATCGATTCCTTAGCATCACACCCATGATGCTGCAAGAAACACACAGGACAACAGACCCTGCTCTATGGGAGAGAGGTCTCGATCATCACAGGGCACATGTACACGACACGGGATTTTTTACACCCCCATTAGATTCAACTTCCAAATGAAGCCACAAGCCAAAACCAAAACACAATACAGGAAAGAATTAAAATAATAGTAATTTTTTTTAAAACTCAGCTTAAAAACAAACTGATGAAGAAACAACGCAACCTGAGAAGCACTCAGAAGAGGAAAAAGAATCAAAAGTCTGCAGCGCCGATGGTCTGATTTTCAGAACTGTTCAGCAGCCTCCTGGCTCCTGTTTGAAGTCAATAGGAGCAGTAGGAGTTCAGCACCTTTGGAAACCAACCCCAGTGCACTTAGTCAGAACAATTATTCTATTTGTTCTATAACTGCAGTCTTGGAGGGAAAGAAAAAAAAATTGTTTCCCCTAGGAACTCAGTGTTAATCAATGGAAATCCCCCTGTAGCGTAGATAATTTTCCTGCAGTGCAGCAGAAATGTTTATACTCTGGAACCACGTAGTGCACACGCTCAGAGAAATCATCAGGGTGGAAAGCAGCAGCGTTTCTAAAACTGTAACTCAACAGCCAGCCTACCTTCTGGAGGATGATGTGAGACATGGAGGCATTTGCGTGTACGATGATGGTGGCAGTTTTGTCATCCCGGATCTCTTTTAGGAGAGGGGTAGGGTCCCGGCTGTCATCCAGCATCCGTACGGAGAGGGTGTCCTTGGAGATGAGGAATTGACGAAGCAACTTCTCTAGGTTTAAAAGGCCTGCAAGGAAAAGCAGCACAAAGAGGGCTTTTAAATGATGTGTTCTGTCACGAGTCCTTCACCCCCAGGATCCAGCACTGCATTGGGCTGGTTCACCAAACGGTGTGGCAGTATGCTGAAAAGCAAAGGAGCCATGTCTTAACTCCAGTCTCTCTCCTCTGGTCACCAGGGGATGGGGAGGGATGGAACGTCACATCATGCTTTGGCCATCAGAAACAGCAGAGTTGGATCATCATGGCGCACGGTTTCTAATTATGGCCTCAATGCACATAATAAAAGAACCAAATGTGTTCTAGGTACTTTACAGACACATAGGAAGACAGGTCTCCAGTGACCTCAGCCACTGACACAGCAGAAGACAAGATCTCTGCAGACCTAGGGCACTTGTACACATGACGAAAATGTCACTTTGTGCCGGGTAATGGCATCACACATTACACATGCACCCGTTTTGGGGGGTTTTAGATGAGCTTGCATTGTTGCAAACTAAACTACCTCTGCATTTAGTTTAGTTTGCAACAATAAGTTGCAGCTGTCAGCTCGCCACCTGGCCATGGGAGGGGGGTAGGTTCCACAGGAAAAAAAGGATCGGGCTCTTCACCACTTCTGCTTTCAGCAGGTGCCTGATACTTTTTTTTCGGTGGAGCCTGTCCACCTCTCCCACAGCCACAGGGCAAGCCGCTGGTGGGCCAAGCAGCCCCTGAGCTGCAGGGGACCCGTGTCCTTCTCTCTGCAGCAGCAATGCCCCCTGGGGCTGCCTGGGTAGGCTGCTTGTGGGCTGTGTGTTGCCCCAGCTTGGAGGCAGCACCCGGCCTGATCCAACTCTTCCCTGAGCCCACCTGGGGAGCAGCACTCGGGCTTCCAGTGGGTAGACTCAGGGAACAGTTGGATTGGGCCAGGTGTGGCCTATGAGCTGGGGCAGCACCTGGCCCACTAGCAGCCTGCCCAGGTGGCCCTGGGAAAGCTCCAACCCCCCCCCAAAAAGGGGGATTGGGCCCCTCGTCATAAGAGTGACAAAACCCCCTAAATTGAACTGGATAGTTTCAATTAAAAACCCACCGGTTCAATTTAGAGGGCAAAGAATATAACCCTAAGGATCAAACCCCCATTACGTGTACAGGTGAGGTGCTATTCTACCTCCCTTGGCTTGCTTCTTCTGGTGAATCATTTTGGCACTGCCATAACCTCAATAACATCTCCCAGTCCGAGAACTTACTATTCAAGGGCTTAATTCTGCTTTTATATATATCTATATAGATGTATGGTCTGATTCTGCTTTTCTGATTATAGAGAGATATATCTGTGTATATCTATCTATATATCTATATGGAGATATATATAGATATATCTATCTATCTAGATAGAGGAGTCATAGAATTATAGAAAATAGGACTCTCCCATGACCTGCAGCACGTCACCTTGTATCAGGTTGGGAAGGGAATTTTCCAAAGGGAGGAGAAGGAGGAGTTACATAACAGGGACCTGCAACCACTTCTCCAAAGGAAAAGGACAAACAACAGACCACGCACCCAAATCTGAGACCCAGTGCCCTGACCGTCAGAGGGGCACTCAGGCCTGGAGCTGAGCTCGTAAACTAAATGTTGCTCCAACTGTACCGAACGGTTTATTCACCCCAAAGGTCAAGGGCTGAGGAAGCAATACAATGCAATGCAATCAGAGTTGCAGAGCGCTGCTTTCAAGGACTCCTGGCACTTCACAAAAGGTAATGAAGCAATGCATTAAAGGGATAAATCCCAGATGAGGAGTCTCTTATTCACAGTGAGATCTTGCAGTAAGTCAATGTACCTGCATGGAGCTCTTTCCCATGCGAAGCCCCCTGCCTCTCCTCTTCAATACAGGAAGGATCTTAGCTGGGGACTAAAGCAACCAGAGTGGCCAGGATTTCTTAAGGGTGGAATGGATTTCCAAGCTTGCTCCTCTATAAAGGGTGCAATTCACCGCTGCACGGAGTCAGCGCATGGTCTGACCACCACTGAAACAGCATTTTATCAGCACTAGTGGGGCTTCCGTTTAAACCTCCTGCTAGATTTCTGAATTGTTTAATCTTACCCATGCCCACAATCGCCTCTTCCTCTAAGATTCGGAGGCTGCCGTGAATACAAGCCCAGCTCCGCTGAGCTGATTTAGGACTCATCTTGCAAACTCCTTTCCCACGAGGAAGGTTCTAAGAGCATTTTACTAACCTTTATTCAATTAAAGCCTCAGAAAAGGAGGCTTTTATGGTTCCTTTGACTTTTTCTTTTTACAGTGGGCCCACTTCATAGCTTTTTGTATTTCTCTTGGTTAAGAAGAGGACGTTTGGGGGAGAGAAGGAGGGGGAACAATATATTTTCTTTATGAGCAAAGCTGGAAGAAAGTTCCCCAAGTGGTCGCTACCAGCCTGAACTCATCTGAAGTCAGGGATGTGTAGGTGAATATTATTCTGCCTTGTGAGCTGATGCAAGAGCCCTCTGAACTGCAGGAGTGGAGGTTGTCATGGGAGTGTAACCCAGCAAATGCCAAACCCTGGGCATTTCCTTTCTCGGGAAGGCATTTCTGAGGCATCAGACGCAAGCTATTATACATTATTCAGGCTCCAAGAGTGACTGGAGGCTTCAGCTGAGGCCATGGCCCACTGGGCATGTCTACATGGCCTCCTATCCAGCCCAAGCTCCAGCACCTGGCCTCTCACTCCTGCTGAGCTGTACCGATGACCAGAGGCACAATAGATAGCTCGGGACCAACCCTGACCATGACTGCCTGAGCCGTGCTCTCTGTCCTGAGAGTGCCTGAGGGTGCACAGGTCTAATCCAAGCTGCTTGGGCCACTCTGGAGAAGTGGACAGGGCACAGTTTGTCAGCAGAGGACGGGGCGTTGGAAGGGAAGTGGAGCAGTAAAGCCACAGAGGAGCAGAGTCCCAGATATTCAATGCCTCCTCCCTTCTTCTTGCACCTGACTTCAGAAAGTCAACTCCTCCAACCATTTAAAAGCAGATCCATCACTACTACTGCAATCTTTCAGACTGTTCGCTCCCTCTGGTGAACCATATAGATGGCAGCCAGGTAGTATACACTGGGCTGTCTGATGTCCTTTGCCACAGGGGCACGGTGGTGAGTTTTTAAGGCCCATTTTATGTTTGATTTTGTTGAAGCTCCATAGCCTGATTGCAGTCGATTCAGGTTTCCCCATACCCTACGTGGGAGTTTATGACGGAGTCTAGGAGGGTGTGAGGATGGTAGTTGTATTTAGTTGTGTAGTGGGGTGTGGTTGTTACTCCATTGCTTTGCCCACCTTCTCTGGGGCCCTGGATCATCACTCAGCTTAATGTTGATCTCTCAAATCCCAATCTGGAGCCTGAAAAACAAGCTAATTATCCATGCCACTGACTGCACAGATATGCCCTCACAACCTGCTCCTGTGTCACTAGCCCCATTTTGCAGATGGGCAGCTGAAGCCCAGAGAGGGGACACAACTAGGCCATTATCACACCACGACATAATAATCGGGGCTGCAACAAGGAGCCCCTGACTCCAGTAACCTAACATTACTCCCCACAACCTGTCAAAAGGTCAGCCCTGGGTGTTAGCAGAGCAACAGTCAAGCAATGCCATTGCACACCGGTAAAGAGGGGCATGTTTAACCCTTCTTTGCCAGGTGCGTTCACGTGAAGATTTCCGTTCTGACCCCTCTCCCTCCTGGCTTCAGCGGATGTAGCGTGGTGCACAGGATGGCAGCCTGGATGTCGAAAGAGATGTTCCAGTCCCAGCTCTTCCCACAACCTGCTGCATGAAAATCATTTTGCTTGGTTTCCTCTCTCTTTCTCTCACTTGCATGCTCTTTGGGTCAATGACTGCACATGCTATGTGCCTGTCTGGTGCTGGGCCCCAAGGCGATGGACCCCGAGTTTCAGCAGGTGCCTCCAGCCACTGTTCTAATATGTAATACAGATGACATGGGGAAGGATGCTAGCGCACAAAGTGTTAAAGCCACGTCTCCTGCCTGCCAGGAGCAGGGAGCAGACAGCCCTGAGTGAGCTTCACATCTTGTGATGGCTAAATGAAATGACTTTCGCAGTCCCTCCATGAGGCTGCAGGAACACGGTAGTCTCTCTCAGGCTGTCGGTGTCCCCATCAATACAGAGCACTGCATGGCACCAGGAGGATAGAAGAAGCCCGCTTTCCCATCAGCTAGCTCAAGAGCTGGGAGCCAGCTGCGGGAGGTTACTCAGGGGAGCCTGCTTGCACGGCATCCAGCCTGCTGCTTTGTCGCTCTCCAGGGCCATTGCAAGTGAGCAGCAACGTGGGCGCAGGGATAGGAAGACAGGCATTGAGGAGCACGCTAGGGGATTTTGTTCTGAGTGAATTAACATGCATGGAAGTGGAGGAAGCAGGGCCCTTCCCTCCAGTGGAAAGGGGAAGGCGAGCAACGGCAGCTGATGCTTGGCCACTGAGTGACAGAAGAGGATCCTCATGTTTTTATGGCTGAACAGTGAACTTGCAGTCTTCAGCATGTGGGACAGCACAGCTGGGCCAGTCATCCTAGCTGTACCCCCCTGGACAGCTCGAGAAACACAGCTCCACCACTACTCCCCAGCTAGCTTAGAGGAGCGCGGGTGACCTACACCAGATCTGGCCCATGCAATGGGCCCAAAGTCACCAGGAGAAATTGAAAAAGCAAGCAAGAAGGCAAGCCAGCCAGCCGAGGCCCCTGGAACCACTTACCATATGTTGAATCTCAGTCCCACATAATGCAATTAGACCTGGCTCCTCAAGTCTAATGGCCTGCACATCTCAGCCTTGCTTTAATAAGGCGCTGGAAAGCAGCCCCCAGCCCAGCTGTGGAACTGCAGTTCATGCCAGACCCTCGCTGCTGCTTTCGATTAAGTTTTCCCATTTTGATGCCTCCCCACTGCCCTACTGCCTTTCACAGGCACTTCACCCCCTCCCCTTGCTGCTCCCCCAGCCCATCAAGCGCAGGTAGACAGCTCTGACAGTCCTGCAGGTTGCAGGGCTCAGCCCGACTCAAAGCTTTCCAAACCAGATCAGGCACGGTGAGGAGAGGGGAGGGGGGGAAACGGGGTGAAGGCTTTTGATTTCCTTTCCCTTGGCTCAACCAAATTATTATTTCCAGCACGCTCCACCTTACCTGTAGCCCCATCAGCTTCCTGCTTTCCCTCCTCTTGTCACATGGAAGGAGGATTCTATTATCTAAAGAGATTCCCTTTTGTTCTGATGACACGGGAGCGTGAAACGCCCAATGCTGACAGACTGACACTTCAGAAGGCTGTTTTACAGGCTGAACATGAGCAAGGGCTTGTAGGCCCCTTCTGGCAGCTTTGAAGTGCAGAAACGAGGAACCACCAGGCGCGGAGAGGCAGGATCGGTTGTGGACTGTGAGAGCAGCGCCGTCCATGCCACCACTTGCCGAAGACTGGTGGGCCTCCCCTTGTTATGTGCTAAGCAGAAAGGTCTCCCAGACCACCCGCACCTGCCTTGTGCTCACATCTAGGCACATAAGTGCATACAGGAGACAACGGAGTCAGAGATAAGGGGTCAAGGCTCTTTTTGCCTTGCTTTCCCCATCTGTGCAAGGATTGCAGTGCAGGCCTGCGTTGCAGAAACGTGGCTGGCAAGAGAAGAGTCTTGACCTGTGGATTCTCTCTCTGCTCTCCTGGATTTAGCCACCGGGCTTGACCATGCGTCAGGAAGGAAGATGTGGGATTGCCCTAACTCCATGTTTTTTTGCATGCACTCCTGATCCTGCTCACTATTGCATTGGTTTTACACCAGCATGGTTCCACTGACTTGGAAGATTTATTCCTATTTAGGGACTCAGGACTGGAAGGGATCTCCCTGACAATCAGGTTGAGCCCCTGCCTTTGCAGACAACTGCCTGCAGCCCCTTACACATCACAGCCCCAACCAAAACCTACAATGTGCCAGAGAAAAGAGCAAGAGAGGAGACAAGGGTACTGCCAATGCACTGGTCCACTGCAATGCCAGGGAACTGATTAGGTGGAAGATGCCCAAATGATCCTATGCTACAGAAGAAGGCAAAGTCCCCAACAGCCCCAAGAGGGGGAAATACTTTCCTGATCCAAATCTGATGATTGGTTTGATCCTGAATGAATGAGCAGGACCTATCCACCAGACAGAGATTCTCAGGATCATTAGGAGCACCAATGTATCCCAGCCAGCCTCCCACCTCTAGCCACAGCCAACATCTACTGATTCAGAAGCTAGCAACCACCCCTTCCCTCCTTCCTCTCCTCAAATAGCCAAATCATGCTTTAAAGGGGGGGTTGCCTCCAAATCCCAGCAGGCAACCAGTAGGAGCCTTGAAGCATGGGGCTACTGTTTTCTTTCAGTGTAAAAGCAACTGGCTCCCAGAGGAGAGATGTGCTTTTGTCAAGGTCACAGTGTAAATCAGTAAAGGCTGGGTATAGAACCAATGAGTCTTACCACCCAGTCCTGTGCTCAGACCAAATTCACCTGGCTTCATGCATCTCCCAAGTGGTCATTTTGGCTTGAGGCACTCCCACACCGACACCCTGACAGACCAAAGCTTGTGATCAAATGCAACAGAACAGAGGAAACAAGAAATAAGGATCAGTATGGATGCACGAGAGTGCAAGTTCCCCCTCTGGCCCCTGTGCACAGAGTAAGCTCTTTGCACTGGGTGTTAGGCTGGCACACAATGGCATGCATTTGTGTGCACAGCGGTAGCAACAAGCATATGGGCACCAATTAGAATTACACACAGGCAGCCAGGGGTCCATGCACTGTCTTCCCCTTTGGCTCAACCCACTCCTCATCTGCTCTGTGCCCTATCGCATGGATGGGATTGGGCAGGTTGCCTTGTTTTCCCTATGACCCTCAGGGTGCAAATGCAGTTAGACCTGCAGTCTTTGTAGCTTTTAGCTGTTGCTGTCTTTTATTGCTATCTTTTATTGCTATAGGCTTTAGAGAGCCATGCAGAACCTTCCTGTTTGGAGTCTCAAAGCACTTTGCAAGCCCTGGAGAATTATCCTACACAATACTCCCTAGAGACAAGAAACAAAGTCATGCAGCCGAATTTCTCCTGCTGTTACACTGGATTTATATAGGCATAGCTCTGTGCCTTGCACAGTCCTTCCCTGTTTACTTAGGTGCTTAGGACTGCTCTAAGATGGGAAGGAAAATGTCCAAGTGTCATTACATGAAGGCAATGCAGACATGTCCTATAAGATGGGGCAGGACTGGGAGCAGAAGCAGGAGGATGCAAAGAGCCCCGTCCAGCATATGCAACTGAATATGGTGGATGGGGCTCGCTGCACTCCAAGACAGTGTTTAATAGCACACCCTTTGCTCAAGGTGCTCAGACTTCCTCCAAGTAAGAGACTACAGACCAATCTTTTCTCTCCACATTGGCCAGCAAGTTGTCTGTGCCAGGGGACCGGCCAGTGCTAAGGCTGGCTCTCTACATGGAGAAAACAAGTAGGGTGGGGAGGAGGGGGACTGTAGACCCCTCCAGTGGTCTTCTGGACCTGAGGTGGCTTCATGCTTCACCTGTACTTGAGGCTTATGGCCAAATGGCATGTCCTAGCCCTAACTGGTGACTCCCTCTTGCAACTGAATTATCCAGTAATTCCTGATTAAAGCATATCACATTGATTCAATTAAAGGGCGGACATCATGTTATTTTAAAGCCAACGATTTGCTTCCTGAGATTTTTCGATCCAGTTAAATGAAGGATCAAATTAACTAGGGACTGAATTAAGTGGAAGGCACCTGTGTGTGTTGGCATGCAGTTGGGAGGACGCGTGTGTATGCAGCTGTGTGTCGACGGGCCCCGGTGCCCCAGAGGGTGTGTACTGGACCGTGTGTCAGCACAGGGGGAGAAGGGGAGGGGGGCGGGAGATGCGAAAATGCTGCACGCAAGGGAAAAAAGGAAGGCTAATTTCAGTGTTAAATGGTCACAGCCAAAAAATGACGTCTGAAAATGCCAGTGAGGGTTCCAGCTACGACATGAACACAGCGTGGTGCGCGGCTTGGGCCAGATCCATGGCTGGTGTAAAGCAGAGCGGATGCACTGAAGTCAGTTGGGTTTTGCTGTTTCTGCCAACCGTGTATCTAGTCCCCTGTGGATGCCTGGAAAAGGCAAGGACTCTCCTGGCCTGGAGCATCCCTGCAGGAGCCAAACATGAGAGATCCCGAGGCTTTGGGGACCTGCACTTTGCCTCAGATTCACCCACGTCATGGTCTGCATGCTAAGAGGTCACCTCCTTCCTTCTGCAGCAGTATGAATTCAAAGTGGCTCCAGGCACGCCAATGCGGTTATGCTGGGGTGTTAACCAGAGGAGGGGTCTAAGGAAAAAGGGCTCAGAAGTGTGGCTGCACATGGGCAGGCATACAGCTGTAGTGACTGGCACATGCAGGTCAGTACAAGCAGGGTGGTACAGATGTGGAGCTGTGCAGAAGATGCTGGACATCAGACAGGTCCTGCACGCGCCCCATTTAGATCACAAACGGTGCAGAGTCTGAGAAAGACGTGCTTGCAAAAGACCCATTTGCTAAATAAGTAAATGAAAAGGTGCTTTCTCAGAAATTGGCCTTCGACCTGTCTCCATTGTGGGAAGCCATCCACCAGACAAAACGCTCTTTCAAGCATCAAATAAGACAAGCAGCCAATGATTGTTCCCTGTCCCCCAACTGCTGCATACACAGCTGTTGGAAAACATGGAGATTTGGGATCATTGTGCACATTCCTGTCTGCAGGCTTCCTCCTTGGCCGCTGCTTTTGCCAAGTCCCCATTTTGCCCCACAGTGGACTGAATGGACCCCACCTTTAGACAAATGGTTTCATTTATACCCTTCTAATCAGAGGGGGGAAAAGCACAAGCCTTCTGCAATCATCACTGCCCTTCTCAGGAGGGATTTCACCGCCAGCAGCGGAAGGTAGAGGCCTTTTTAACACAGCAGGAGGTGCCGAAAGATGTGGGAAAAGATAAAATGAAAGGAAATCAGGACCAGTGGGGGTTTAACTCAGGCTGGAGTGACTTACATTCAGCTTTGGCACAGATGAGGCAGGCAGTGGTACAGTTAAAGAAATTCAGGATCCCAGCAACAGCCACACTGATGTCTGTGTTGCTGGGATGGAGGTTCAAGGTGGTGAATCGCTGGAACTGGAACTTGAGGAATTCTTCTGGGGCCACTTTGAAATGAGGGACCTGAATGAAAAAGGACAGAGAGAAAAAGCAAGCAAGGTCAGCTGCAGGACAACGTCAGTAAGGAGCTGTGAAATTCACTGCTAAAAAGGGAGGAGGCAAGAGAGAAAAAATGTCCCAGGAATGCTCTGCTGGGACAGAGGAGCAAGGTTTTTGCAAGATCATCACAGCAACAAGGCTGGGGACCAACTGGCTAAGCAGCAGCTCTGCAGAAAAGGACCTGAGGGTTACAGCAGACAATAAGCTGTGTATGAATCAACAGTGTGCCCTTGTTGCCAAGAAGGCTGACAGCATCCTGGGCTGCACTGGTGGGAGCGTTGCCAGCAGATTGAGAGAAGTGATTATGCCTTTCTATTCTGCACTGGCGAGGCCACATCTGGAGTCCTGTGTCCAGTTTTGGGCCCCGCACTACAGAAAGGGTGTGGACACAATGGAGAGAATCCAGCAGAGGGAAATGAATATGGTTTGGGGGCTGGGGGACATGACTGGTGAGGAGAGGCTGAGCGAACTGGGCTTATTTAGTCTGCAGAAGAGAAGATCAAGAGAGGATTTAATAGCAGCCTTTAACTCCCGGCAGGGTGGTTACAAAGAAGATGGAGCTGAACTGTTCTCCGTGGGGGCAGATGACAGGACAAGGAGCAATGTGCTCAAGTGGCAGCAAGGGAAGTTTAGGTTGGATGTTAGGAAAAACTCTTTCACTAGGAGGGTGGTGAAGCACTAGAATGGGTTACCTAGAGAGGTGGCAGAGTCTCCATCCTTGGAGGTTTTTAAGGACCAGCTCAACAAAGCCTTGGCTGGGATGATATAGTAGGATGGCCCTGCTTTGAGCAAGGGGTTGGACTAGATGTGACCTCCTAAGGTCCCTTCCAACACTCATTTTCTGTGATTCTATGAACAAGAACCTGGCTGGCGGCTTTAGGAGATGGATGAGGAAAGGCCTAGCTGAGGCTCTTTAGCAAAGGTCAGCAGTAAGAGCAGCGGTAAGGGGATGCTACGCTGTAAAGGGTGGTGTAGGTGTGCTGAGTTAGTATAATCTAGCCAGTTTGGGTACCATGAGCAACAAAGCTATAGCAGCTCTGACTTTAGCAGGGGCTAACAGTCCTCACTGGTATCTGTGTGGTCCTGAGTGGGGCTTACGGAGTCCACACTGGAACCTCACCACCACGCACGGCTTCATTGCTATGAGTACCCCTGTTAGCTAGATTAAAGCTGCACATGCAGCAATTAGTGGAGACCTACCCCCAGACATTTAGGAGGCTACAAGAAAGAGGAACAAGATGACCTGATGCCGGCAACTCCCAGGAGGAAGAGGAACAGTTGCAGCAATCAGAAGCTTTGGGCCTTTTGATCTGCTGAGAAGGAACAGGCTACTGTAAGGCAGAAAATCCAGTGGGATCATCCCTCCCAGCCCTAATAATATTTCATTTGCCATTAATAAATCAAGGCAAAGGCAGAAGCAGGGTAGTGAATCCCAGGGAACGCAGACAATGTGGAACAAGCCAGCGCTGAGGAAGGGCGGGCAGAGAGCTGCCTCCGTTCTGACTTGGGCGCACGCTTAGGGACATGGGGAGGATGCAGCAGGAAGGTGGGAAAGGTGGCCAGGGCCAGCTGGATGGGAAAAATTATTTTTGTTGTTCTGGCAGAATTAATTATTTGGAAGAAATAGCACACAGCAAAGGGAAACATCTGGCTCTGCTTCATTAGGAGGGTGTCAAGTCCTCTTTACTTCCATTATCAGAGTTTCCGGAGGCTATCGCCCCACTCTTCCGAGCTTTCTCCTCCTGGGGAAGGCTGTTAGTGGGCTGTGATGGCTGCTTTATTGAAGGCATAAGCTGTTTGGTTAGTAATCAGAAAGTTAAAGAGTAATAAGCTGCTATCTGCCTTGATTTCACTCCGCAGCCCTCATCCGGGGCTCCATTAACAGGAGAGAAGCCGACTGTAAGCTAAAGGCAAATTCCTCTAACCTAAGCAGCCGGGGCATCTACAGAACGGGCTTGTTGATCATTTTCTGAAGTCATATGGAGTCTGAAGCTTGCAGCAAAGATTGCTAACAGGACAGAGAGATGCTCAGACACAGGTGTACATGAGAACCAGTTACAAGCAGCCTGTGATCTCCAAAGGAGGCAGGCTCCAGCCTCACAGTGGATGGTTGCTTTGATCCAGGTCTTTTCCTCGTCCAGGATAAAAATCAAGAAGTCTGACTCTTTCCTTATGTGCACCAGAATAACAGCACTGACTTCACTAGAGAAAAAAAGCTGGTCTTTTGGTGATGGCACTGGACTGTGACTCAGGAAACGGATAGTTCATTACCAGTTCTGACAGGCTGCTTGTGCGACCTGGAGCAAGCGGCTTCATCTCTCTTTGCCTCAATTCCTTGTCTGTAAAATGGGTGGGTGGGTAACAGAACTTGGACTGTGAGCTTCTGAGGCAGAGATTCCCTTACAAGCCCAGCAAAAGAGAAACCCTGGCCTTGTTTGGGGTCTCTAGGTGCTCCTGCAAGACAAATTATAATGAATTGCTCCTGACTGATGTCAGTGCAAGTGAGAGCGCCCAAGAAAGAGACCACTAAGGCTGGAGCTGAACTCCACAGCATGCAAGTTTTGGTGCTGGGGTACCTCTAGAAAGAAGCAGCAGTTTATGAATGATGGGCTGAGACCAGGAGCTTGGATCCAAGTGATGCAGATTAAACACAACGTTCAGGAAAAGCACTCATGATCTGCTACTGAAGAGGGGTTTCTGCCTGGGGTACAGAAGGTGTCAGATGTTTAAACAGGCAGAAGCATTAAAATATACGCTCTGGGGAGCCACCCTGCCGTGGTCAAGGGCTGGCTCTAGAAGATCTTTTTCTCCTCTACTGCCTTGGATACCAGGGGGAAAAAGGAGTGTGCTCGGTGTGTGAATGCAGCCCATTTACAGTGCTCCATTTCAGATGCTCACAGAGATTGGAGACACCAGAGACAGAGTTGACTAAATGGCTGAGAGATGTTATCAGGCTTTAAAGGGATGAACTATGAGAAGAGAACTCAATTTCTTGTCCCTGGAGTGAAGTCAGATCAGTCTAAGGCGGTTCAAGGTTTATAAAATATTAAATCAGGTGCATAATCTGGCCACAGATAAAAAAGTGTTTGTACTGAAGGAACATCTCCAAACCAGAAAGGGGGAGTTGTCGTCCAGGAGGGCTGCAAACAAAGCTAACAGGCTGTGGGGAGACTGCGTAGGGATTCAAAATTGCCAAGCAGCGGATAGCTTTTTCAATGGGAAGCGATGAGGAAGCTCGGTGGTGGTGCCGGGTCCTAGAAAAACCAGGGGGATGGCAGTACAGGAGGGAGTGAGAGCCAAGACACAGAGGAGAAAAAGTTGATGTGGGGAGAAAAAACAAGAAACAACAAGATTAAAGGGAAGGAGGGCAAAGAGACCAGGAGAGAGAGGATCTGTGCATTGAATTCTGGATTTTGGTAAGACCATTTCCATGCAAAAAGGGTGACAGGCTGGATGTGTTAGTGGGTAAGGCACCAGACTGGCACTCAGGAGCTCTGGGTTCAATGCTTACACCTGAACCCCAGATATTCCCAGGCCATGTCTGATGCCTCCATTGCCCCTGGTGCGAGATGTGGATAACATCCCAGCCCCACCCTGCAGGAAGAGGCGAGGATAAAATCCATGAGCGAGAATGAGGAGCTCGCATACTGCGGTGATGGAGAGCCAGACAGATACCAGGATGGATAGGTGCAGACTCACTAGTTAGACCCGAGTGCGTGAATGGAGGTGAAGTGACAGGAAAGCTGCAGGAGACTTCAGATGTGATGGGACTGTCAGGAGAAGAGCAACAGTCAGAGCCAGGAAAGGAAGGAGGAAAGCAACAGGAAGGGAGTACGCAGCAAGACCCTGGCTGGCATCTCAGGGAGAAAAGCGTTGTCCAGACGCAGAAGACTCCAGCTTGAAGGGACAAACTGATTCAGCAGCAGGAAACCTTCCCTGCTGGATCTGCAGAGGAGGCACTTGCAGCTTGGAGGCAACAAATGCCTTTTGGGATGATAGCTGGGAAGGCAAATAATAACTTCATTTGCAGTTAATAAAGCAGAAGTGAGATGCTGCATCCTTGAGGACTGAGGCAACACTCAGTGGGGACAAGGAGGGAACTGCTCCATCCAGAGCCCAGCAGAGAGGGGAAGGCTGGAAACTGTTTTTAGCCTCCAGATTCTCCCTGGACTCAGGCTCACATGGGCTGAGAGAAGGATTTGAGATGAAGCTGCCACGGTGAACAAGGCCAGGGGAACTGTATCACCCCATGCACCCTGCCTGCCCCTCCGTTACAACCTCCCAGACTTGTCCCCTGTGGGCCTGCCCCGTGGGCTCAGGCAGCTCCGCTGGTCAGAGTGATGGCTCAAAATGACTCCCAAAGGGGACGTTTCACTCACCTCTTTCTCCCCACAGATATTGCTGATAATAGAGCTTGAAGCCGGACTTGATGAAGGTCCCAGGACAGCTACCACCCCTTTCGGCAGAATCTGGCACACTGGAGTCACCACGGAGAAGAAACACGTGTTAATGAGGTGCGATTATCCAGAGTCCCAGCAAGCAGCGATGCCTACGCAATACAGCACAAAGTATATCAACTCGCCCAGCCTCCGTGCCCCGCTGAACCAAGAGTCTCTGTAGCCCCAACCTCATGAAGTTAATCTCATATCCCTAACTTTCAAAACATCTCTGCTTCCCACTACTAGTCCCATAGCCCAGCTGTCTTATGGGACAGACCTCCAACCTTGTTAAGTCCCCACTATGTGCTCCTTATCACCACTGCTGGTTTCCTCTTAAAAAGTCGTGGCACACTCCCCTCTGCTGCCCCCAATCCCACAGAAGCCCCTCGCCAATGCCATTTGCACATTATTCTCCAACCCCTACGAACCTCTCACATCTGTTATCTCCCCACCCTCCTTCAAGGCCAAGGACAGCCGGGTCCCTTTGCCCGGTGACGTGCCCCTTTCAGGCTTTTCTGCTTTGCAGCAAGAAATTATCATGGAAGTTTATGGACAATATTAAGCAAGGAACAATCCAGGTTAAAGCAACATACTGCAGCAGCCAAACTTATATATATTTCTTCTCTCATCTTTTGCAGAACTGAGTAATAAGAAGAATTAAATTATTGCTCTCGGTTTGTTTTTACTGTACGCTCTGTGCAGCAGCAGTTAATGTTCTGGACCCAGGCCACGAGGGTTGATATAACATTAACAGGACCCTGACAAACTGAAGAAGCTGAATTTTTCCCTTGGTCTCCTGGGTTATACTGTAACTTTCTGTGCTTTCAATCAGAGCTGAAGGGACTTGGAAGGCCTCCCCGGTGGAAATCAGATCCAACCAAACCATCGAGGACCGTTCCTCTGGAGTAATTTGTATGAGTGAAGCCTCCACAGACTGAAACCAGCAGCATCCTCATTTCTGCGCCCCGAGGTCCCCGAAGGATATTTTGAACTTGGCATGGATGACTGGAGTTTTGAAAGACATGGGGAGAAATGGCTAACTCAGTATTACCACACTCCCATCTCCCTTCCATCTAGAGACACAGGCAGGCAGACGAACCGCAAATACACAGTCATGTTTGCTTAACTAGCATAACGCGAGCGCTTGCAAGGTATGCAGACACCACGTGGGAGAAATTAAGTTCACCACGGTTATTTGCCTTCTCTACAGTAACATCTTGTCAAAGCTTTCAAAAAATCAAGTGTTTATGAGCTAGCTTATGCAAAGAAGTCATGCATCTAAAAGACAGTCCCTCGTATATCAAGTGACTTGTTTGGCTTGGGACAGGATTTTGTCTTTGGGAGCTGGGTGTGGATCTGAGCCAGGCCTTTACAATGGTGGTGGAAATTACCTAGATGTGAGGGTTGGAAGCTGAAACCAGAAAAACTGAAAGTGGAACGCAATTTGAATAGCGTGGGTAGTTAATCATTGGAACAGCCTTATGACAGGATATATGGGTTCCCCAGCACTTGAAGTCTTTAAAACAAGACTCAGTGTCTTTTGGAGAGAAAGAGAGAGAAAAAGAAAGAGAGAAATGCATTCTCCTTTGACAACGAGTTACTGGGCTCCGTGCGGCAACCAACGGATGAATGTCAAAGGCCTATGTTATGCAGGAGGTCAAACCAGATGATTATAACGGTACTTTGTGGCCTTAAATCTATGAAGTTATACCATCTAGTGGCTACAACGAGGGTATAAGAGGCAGGGCTCCTGGGTTGTAGTCCCAGCTCCGCTAATGCCTTGGTCTGTGACTCTGGGCAAGTCATTTCACCTCTCTGTCCGTCTGTGAATTAGGGATGAGACTAGTGCTTTAACAGGCAATAATATGGTTTAATTAATTCATCTTTGTAATGTGATCCAAGAAACACGGGCATATGAAAAGTGTCATCCCAGCTTACACCCTAACCCACTCAGGAGGACGTGGAGGAGCTTAAACCTAAAATCAGCTAACCACAAAACACAAAATAATAATAAATAAGCCCCCCCGCGCCTTTTAAAACAAGGATAAAGTAATCTCCCCAAGTAAAGAAGGAAAATGTAATCATGCAATAAGACCTTTTTCATTGTTTTAAAACCTGATGTAAATGTAGTACAGTATAACCTCATAAATCCGGATACACATAAAAAAAAATAATTGGGAATTATCAAAAATCCGGCACTTTTTAAGCTTGCACGCGGCGGCTCCTGCCGCCATCCACCACCCCACACTGCCGCGCCGCGTGCGGCCGCTGCTCCAGGACCGGCCATCGCTCCAGTTTCAAAAATCCAAAATTGTTAAATTTCCGGCAGGTTCTTGGTCCCGAGCATGCTGGATTTATGAGGTTATACTGCGCTGTACTGTAAATCTTCTGCCCACAATGCAGCACACAGCAGGGCACAGCTTCCCACAGAGAGATGATTTGTCTTACAGGAACTAGCCCCGCGTTCGAGAAGACAGCTCATTGCCATGTTTTACTCAGTGCTGGACTTCTCTGTTGAAAAACGGTGTTTGTGACCATGGGGAAAAAACGAACACCTTATTTCCTGCCAGTCAACAGACGCCCACCAAAAGGTAATACTTGTAGGTTATACTTGTAGGGCCCCAGGGGCTCACTAAGGAAGTCAAATCATCTGGGCAGAGATGCAGACGACAAAGGAGGAGGCCAAACAGCAGCCCTGCCGGACTGAATGCACCCGGTCTGGTCTGATGTAGGAAACCAAGCTGTCCTGGGTCTAGGTAGTCTTGGCTGAGAGGCTGCCTTGCAATTCCAGCAGCTGTAGATACAAGCCAAGGAGCTTTGGTCAAACACTAGCTATGAATGAGTGACAAGGCTTAACTTAGCCCCATTGTTGCTACCGAGCTGATGGACAGGAGTAAGAGGAAGGCACAGGAAGCCTCAATGACATGCACACATCTCCCCTTGGTTTTGTTCTCTCAGTCCAGTATAGTGCATCAGTGGCGGGGGGTTTTTCTTCAGCAGCTTCAAAGGGATATAGCACTTGCTTCTCCTCTTTGCTTAGAGATTTGCTGGCACTCACACCTCTTCAATAGACCCTTTTGACTAAGAATATCAGCAATTTGCAAACCGTGCATTCTGTTTTAGAAACATTCATCAGTCCCTTGTGACAGCTGGGAGCCTTCAATTATTCTGCAGTGTATCAGGCACCTGCCAGCATCCAAGAGGAAGGCACGGGCGCCCGCCCGTGTGTACACGTGTGAATAAGGCAAAAGTCCTAAGGGGGGGATTTTTGTCCTGCATGTAGGGGAAAGTTTGGCAAGCACTTTCCCTTTGTCTCTCGGGTAGCCAAGAACAAAAAGTGTGTTAAGTAGTCATAGCAACTGAGTTGCAACAACTGCCAGAAGAGAGAGCAGCAGCTTATCACTCTAAGGGTGAACATCGGATGGAATTACAGAAAAGAAAAAAAAAGGAAACCAAGTGGAGATGCCTTGAGGCAGAGGCTTAGGCCATGTTGAGGAAGCTCCTCTTGTGATCCAAAGCCATTTCCTAAATCAAAATGCTGCCTGCTTCTCTTACTCTTCACGGGAGTGGGGAGGAGGAATCATACCCAGACTCAGCTGTGCTCCATCGACAGGCATCATGTATTCAGACAAGCGCTTGCAAGGATGCAGGGCTGTCTGCACAACTCCACATTCATTTCTGGTAAAAGTGATCTGATTTCAGTGGCATTATCCCAAGGACAACATGGACTAACCAGAAAACCATGGATCCCAACACAGAGCCTGCCATGAAGGATGCTGGCCAGGATATTGTTTTAGATGCTAGAATCGCCAAACCAGATCCTCAGCTTGTGTGAACTGCTGTAATTCTTGATAGTCAAAGAGCTAGCCCAGCACCTACCTCCCTTGCAAGTGTATACAACACCCATTACTATGGTTGCATGCATGCATGAAAAATTGAAACCTTCAATGATCTGGCCTGGAAAATGGATTCAATCAGAAGAAATGTTATAACTGGCATATATTAAGGCCCTGGCTGAAACCATCATCACACAGGACATACCAAGGCAAGACTAAACTTCTAGACTTGCTCCTCAAGGTATCACACCACCTTTTTGCCAGGGTACCACACACAGCATGTTCTGCCTAGAAGCATGCACCCAGGTTTGGGGAGCATACCACCTGGGACCACAAGGTCCCAATGCTGACTTGCAGCCAACCATCTCATATGTCAGAGTAGAGGGATCCAAGGGGCAGGGTTGGCCCCATCTTTGCTGGACAACCTGAGCCGAGCTTCCTAAGCGTTGCACATCGTGGCTCCAATTCGGTAATACACTTCCACATAGCTAAGGCTAAGCAGGTTGTACAGCCTCCACTGTACTGTCACCAGTCCATTGCAAATAGACCCAGTACTGTATCCCATCTGCTTCCAACACAATTCAATCTAAGTAGACTTTCAGTCTCTGTTCCTAGCTGTGGACTCCAGGGAACACCCCCAGGCTCAGACTCACAGTCTGGTGCACCATTTAAGATGTAAGTGGCTCACTCAGCCACTCCAAACCTCAAAATCAGTGCCCAGGACCTTCTGACATACAAGCCTCATATATGACTCTCTCAGCGACACACGCTGTACTCTTCAAACACTTGAGTGTTACAGATCTTTGAATACAAAATACAAAATGGGCCCCCCTTCCAGCCTCACCTCATGCCTTCTTGCAAGTTAGAGGTGTCGATATTTCTGGCTGGACAGAACCACTCCTGTCCTCACCTTCCTACAGGTCTTCTGGCCACGTGCCTGGAAACAGTCAGCTATCCACACAGAGCAGCACCCTGCCTTTTAAAAGTAGACTCTCAGTGGAAAGCTCCCGTTCCCACCCCTAGTCACACTGGCCCTGATGAAGAAAAGACCATTTTCCCACAGGGTCAGGTCAGTAGCTAACAGTCATTCAAAAGTGATATGCCCTGACTGTTGCCTTGATGAGGTCTATATACACATATCAAGCCAATTTCCTAGGTGAGACAGTTGCCTGGGATACATTACAATAGGGTGCCTTCATGCATAATGCAAACTGGAGCTCATCATTTGATACAGGTGCATCCCACTCTGCTTTGCTGAATCAGGGCCTAAAGAGATACTCAAAGTTTGGAAATATGAGCATCTCTGCTCACAGAGCTATAAGACATCAGTTAGATGTGTATTAGGAAGAGGTAACAATTCCTGTTCGGTCTGTATATTAAAGATACCAGCTTTCGTATACAAGAATCTCAGAGCACTTTGCAAATTCAGAGGTATACTCTCTCTTTGCCCACCGCTACGCGCTCCAGTCTCTGGTGCTGTATGCAACAGCAAGAGGAGTTGAGGACAAGGAGAATCCTGAATCCAATTATCCCAACTGGAATTTGGCTGGGAATTAGCATCCTGACTTTTGTGAAACGTGTCAGGGTTTTTTAAATGACCAGACTGTGGGTTTTTTTCCTGAATTATGGGAAACCAATGAACCCCGAACCATACTAGGGTGCGGTCTCCGAAGTGAGATCGTCACCTATTGGAAGTCGTCAGCGCTGCTTCCTGCAGCGCTCTCTACATGCTGTCTGTCTGGCAGCATCCTGAACCCAGCTGCTGATCGGGCTTGGCTGCTGAGTGCATGAGCATCAGTCAGGATTGCAGCAAAGACAGCAGAGCTACTATCCCACGTGAGCCCACTTGCTCAAATGAAGGCATCCCCTAAACACTCAGAAAGACTTCTGTGTACAGGTTAAAGCCAAAACCCCTCTAGTTACTTATTTTAGCTGATGAAACATCTGAAGGTGTTTGGATTAGCAGAAGGAAGATCCTTAGAAGCTGCCACATGCTGAAGACCATAGACTGATGAGCGGGAAATGTGTCCCTTCTTGGACTTTAAGAGGAAGAAAGTCATTAAACAGACCGTTTTGGATCCCTATAAAGGAATTTGGGGATATAACACATGGAGTAAACAGGCTTTACCTGCAATGAAAAAAAACCAAGCCCTGTCCATAATCTTTTCACTATGGGATTACTTCAAAATAGTGATACGCAGATGCTTTCTTACAAGAACAGCCAATATATTTATTTGCCTCCGCCTCCTTTTAGATAGAAAATGAACAGGTCTTAATCAAATCCATGTGTGAGTTTGTCCACAAAGTTTTTTTTATCTGTTCTAGGAATCACAATTTTGCAGCAGCATATGTTAAGATCCCTGACTCAACCATTAAAAAATGGAAAATTGCTTTACAATAAAATAAAAAGCAACCCACAAAAAATCTTTCTTCTCTTAAAATGCTAATTGCATGCAAAGTGTCACTGTTTGGATGTAATAGCGACATTCCTAGAATCAGTTAGCTAAACATACTAGCTGTGATATTTAGGAGTAATTCAAAAGGCGTGAAATCTGAAAGCGGTATTAAAGACATGTATAAAAGCTCCGCAGTCATAGGTTAAAACATCGAAACTACTTTCATTAATATGATATGCAATGACAACTGCTACGGCTGTGTTAGAGCTGAGAAGTCAGGTATTCAAGAAGTAAAGAAACCTTTCATTTTAAGGGGCTTGATTCGCTTTTAATATTGGTGTAAATCAAGAGTAACTTTACTGCGAGAGTAGGGAAATTTTCCATTTAGCAAATTTTCCATTTTGTAGGAAATGCTGCAATTTCATAATTTCTTTCTTGTTTGCAATAAAACAATGGAAAAGGTGCTGTGAAATGAAATTCAAAGAAAGAAATTGCTTCCTTTTGATCATATCAAAGCATTTTGTTCCAACGTCTCCTTTTTTATATTCAATTATTTAATATAAAAAAATAAATAAAAGTGTTTTAAACTGGAAACCGTTCTAACTTTTCAGGAAGCTGTATTACTCCCCCACCCCTCCCACACAGCATTTTGCCAAAATCAGCAAGTTTCTACCAAATGTCTATGAAATGTTTTGGTTTCAACAAATTGGTATTTTCAACTAGAAACAAAAGGTGCCATCAGAAAAGTTGCGATTAGCTCTACACTGCTGTAAGGAACAAGGGAATCCGGGACAAGATCATTACCACGTTCACCCACACACGATGCGAGAAGGAGATCGGTACTAAACACACAAATAAAGGAATGAATGGAAAATGCTGACATCAAATTCAAGAGATGTGGCAAGGAGGATGAGCAGAACAAACAATAGAGGGAAGCAACACATCGTCCACGTTTCCTCTCCTGCTAATGACAGCAGAGAGGGTGAGGGATAGATGAGGAGGCACACATGGAAGCTGGACCCTGGCTGCCAGGTCTGTCTGTTCAACCCGTGTCCTCTGCTCTGCCCGGGATGGGTATATCTGGGCAGGCCAGAGGGCACACGTGTGACTGATGCTCCACTTGGGCAAAGGATCAACTGAACAGACACGTGACTGGGGACACTCTTTAATCAGCTGCGATGGCCCAGAACAGGGCACAAGCCGAACACCCATTACAGAGTTCAAGAAGCGAAGGCAGAGGAAGACTGTTTCAAAACTTCTCCTCGAGATGCTGTAGGAGAAGTTTTTAACCTTAACTGTCTCACGGGTGATGGGCTCTATAGATAGACATCCAGGAACTTTCTGCAATACACATTATTAACTGAATGCGGAGGAACGGTTCTATAAATAGCCTAATTTCTTATTTGGGGAATCAAGGACTCGTCTCTCCACCTCACATGCTAACAGGCACGATGGTCCCTTCAGTGAATTATCACGAGGCTTGCTGCTCTGAAGTGCTGAGTGCCAGGACTCCCTTTGAACCTAATGGACATGGACACCACTCAGGACTGCTGAGAATCAAACCCAAAGGCTCGGAGGAAGAGCAGCACTGAAGATAATTTTAGGAAGCTGTTATCATATCCTACAGGACAGCCCAGCAGAACTACACAGAAGTAAAACCAACCTGGTTCTGCAGCCATTAGAGAGCGTTGCTCAGAAATCACTCTAAAAGCCTATATAACTTTATATCTTTTCTATAGACTTTTAGAACTCATTTGCAATAGGGAATTATAGCCCTGTTATAGGATTATACGAGATGGCTTAACAATTTGCTGTGGAGAAGTGATCGTAGTCTTTTGATTTCTATAGGACTTTTTCTACAAGAGGCAGGCCTTAGAGCCATTTTTTGGGTTTAATTTTTATTGGGACTAGGGAGAGATTTTCCCTGACTCGGGAGGCAAAAATAATCAAACAAAAACACCCAAAAAACCTTGAAGGCCTCTGAGAACATTAGTATATTAGTCAAATAGACAGGTTTTAGTAATGGATGCAGACTGGATGAGCTCATGTCTAAAGACAAAACCCTTTAGAGAGCATCTAGATCAGAGATCTGTTCGCATTTGGGAAGTGCACACCCCCAGGCTGTGTATACTGCCTCTAGACAGAGAGCTTAGGCACCACCTATTCTGGTATACACAACCCCTTGGTAGCTACTGTTGAGAAATGCAGAAGAAGAGCTGCTGCGTTTCTTGGCCCAACTCAGGGCGAAGCAGCATTTCAGAAACGAGACAATTCAAACCAACATTACCTAGTTCTTGTTTAGTGCTTTACACCAGTTCGTTTCCAAAAGGTTTTAGCAAGGAAGACAGTAGCAGCATCCTCAGTTTACAGATGAGGGTGTTTATAGATGTTCTCCGAGAGAGAGGGGTGCTTTAATTAGAGCGGCTCCTAGAGCCATTCTAATTAGAGCATCATGTGTATCAGCATCCCCACCGCCATTTTCCAGCACGGGGACACTGATACATATGATGCTAGAGTCTGCTGGAGTGCAACTATTACCACACTTAAGCAGACACAATTGATCAAGCCTGCTCAGACATGCTGTGATTATAGCACATTACAGCAGCTTCGCTGCATGTGTATAGGCACCCCAGGCATAGAGCAGGGAAGGAAGTCACTTTGCTTACAGACAGCCATAAACTAGGCTCCCAAATCCCAGACTTATGCTCTCTCCACTGGGCAAGGCTTCCTCCCCTCCCTGCTTTCTGAGCCTGCCTTAAACTTTTAGACAGCTCTGCAGGGGAAATTCTGCAAGCAAGCGAAATCTATATGTGATAAAAGGATGGCAATTAAACTTTAGAAGGATGACAGTGTGCAGAGAAGAGGGGAGCAGCCCTAAAATACCCCCGAACTATGTAAAAGGATACCGCCCCATCTGCTATCCAGCACAGGTGAATCCCACTAGGATGCCAGCAAGCCTACCACACACTTGGTCACTACAGCAGAACTGTTTTTAGGACACTGTTATAGCTGGAGAAGCACTCGATACACTAACAGGGTTTGTGATCGTTCAGATGCTTATAACAGGGTACTGTCTGTTCCTGAGAAAAACCACACTGATCTCATGAATGGGACTGTTTTTTGGGGGCAAGCACCGCTGCAGACTCAGACCAGCTGACGTCTAAGGAAGGATGCTCTTGTGGGGAACCCCCACTTGGAGACCGACAGGAAAAGGAAAGGTTCAAGGCCCAGGAGGTACATACTGGTTTCCGCTGTCTCATATTCACTGTCTCTCAGCAGCTCAAAAATGTCCACCTCCACTTTGGCTTTTCCTGCTCGCTCTGGGGCCCGATTGATCCGATTCTTCGCTAGGGTGATTGACAGCCTCTCCCCTCTGCTGCACTCCATCGGGTCATCCAGAATGGCAGCTGGAAAACAAAAGCACAGCTCAGTAAGGAAGGACTGGAAACACTGGCAGAACCGAGAATAAAAGCTGGCGAGTCAGTAGGCAGAGGAAATGAAAGGATCAGGGGAGAGAGAGAGAGAGAGAAAAGAGTCCATTTTCCATGGTGTGTTTTACCACTGGCGTTGGCAACAGTAGGTTTCTCTATTTGCAAGGATGCCTGAATCACCTAATTCGGGAGGATTACATCACTCAGTGGGGCCCCAATTCTGTAACCAGAGCCATCCATAGGATCATAGCAAAGTAGGGCTGGAAGGGACTTCACAAGATCGTCTAGTCCAGCCCCTTGCTCGAGGCAGGATCATCCCCGACTAAACCATCCCAGCCAACTATCTAATCTGCTTTTGAAAACATCCAAGGATGGACATACCACAGTTTCTCTAGGGTGCCTGTTGCAATGCTTGTCCTTTCAAACTGAGTACCAAGCTTACATCCCACCAAAATTGCTTGCCCTCAACAGGCATTGCTCAGGCATGGGATGAGCTGTTCCTTCATCGTATCTACTGAAGTCCATTCATTTTATTACTGCCCCTCACAGCCATCCTTACCTGTTATGCCCACCTGTTAATGCCTACCAAATTTCATAGACATTAGGGCTGGAAGGGACCTTGGGAGATCATCCAGCCCAGCACCCTGCCCCAAGGCATCACTTGTGAGCTCCCTGCCTCAAGAGTGTCTGTTCCTTGCCTGCGCAGCGCCTAAGCTCCCACCTGGAGATTCCCGATTGCAGTTCCTAAATGTTACTAGAATACAAAAATCATAAAGCTGGGGTTTGTCCACTTCAATCAGGGCCCAGTTTAGTATTTAATGCCCAAGAAAACAGTTTAGGATTTACTGTGATGTGTGAATTAGCAAGTGAACAAGCACAGGCGCACGCACAAGAGTGCATCAAAAACATGCTTTGTTCATTTGATAAAGTCTCTGTGCAGTGCTGAGACCAGCAGATCAATTCTCACAGTCAGAATATTTCAGGAAGCGAGTGGGCAGGGGTGGGTGGGGAGGGACAAATATTTTTCAAACAGAAGACACTTGACTCTTGAACTCATCTCCTGAGCCTGCCTACTCAAATCTGTGCTATGCTGGGGTGGAGAAGAGATATTGTGGTGTATGGTTTTTATTTATTTTTTATAGAAGGTAAAAATAAATTGGAGTTGAGCATTAATCTTAATACTTCATAATGCACTAGCAACATTGCTGCGGTACCGTTTGCTGGGTCTGGTTAATAAGAGCTCCTGTTGTAGCACTCAGCTATTAAATCTTAGCTGGGAAGACAGCACTGTTTTTTTGGTGTGTGAATTATAAGGGGACTGATGCTCATCTTCCTTGCCAAAGTTTCTTAGCAGCATTGCTTCCATTAGGGCAGGAGCTGCCCGGGTGTAAACCAGGCCTAAGTAACACCAGAATCAGGCCCCAAAGTGCGTAGGTTAGCAAAGAGTAGATTAGTGCAGCTCTGCTGTATAATGTAAGCACACAGGCCAGGAAAATACAGAACCAGCTACAGCACTTGCTAAAGCTTTGAAATGCATCACTTTGCTGCAGAAGCTTTCCTTTTTTAAAGCAAGAACCATGTAAATCAATTGACAGCCGAAATAAAGCAAATTGGCTGTAACCTGGAGGTATGGAGCTGCTCTCGCAGTGGAGGGGGCGGGGGCAGAACAAGGAGATAGATAAGACTTGCAAGGCACAGGGAAAGTTAAAAGATGTCAGCTAGGCATAAAGAATAACTTCCAGCTGGGACCAAAGCAGTGCAAGTTTGTCCTAAGGAGCTCCCACCTGGAGAGGTACAGCTCTCTGGTCTCCAGCTGATGGCACCAGACCGGTACAAAACACACCCAGAAGCCCTGCAGCAGCAGGCTGCTGCATGATAACTGGACCTCCAGGGAAGTTTCATGTTGGTTCTCCAATTGTCAGAGATTACTTTAGACCCTGAACCTTGAAGTTTCTGCCTCCAGAGAGATCCCGACTTGGCAGTTGGTTGCAATGAAGTTCTCAGTGCTCAGACAGCTAATCCCCTTAGTTAGTTATGTCTATTAACAAGACCACAAGGATGCCATGCTTCCAAGAAGGTATCCAGGTTGTGGCCATATTGGTCTAAAGGAAAAAGCAATCAGGGCTCATGCATAAAGGTGATATCTTTTATTAGACCAGATTTTTGCAAAAAACTTTCATTTAATTAAATGAAATCATATTTTCCCAAGCAAGAAACAACTTGGACCACCTGCAACCTGAGATCCTGCTCCTGCCTTTAAAGTACTTTGCATCATCACAGCCTCGCAGGAGAGCTGAGACTCCTTACCAGCGAAGAACTGCTGCCCAGAGGGCTTTTTCCATCTATTGAGTCCTCTGTGAAATCCTATGAAATATGAACTTTCATTTCTACCCAGGAGAACTTTTACAATCTTTTCTCTGATGCCAGATGAAGGGTGTTTGTACCCAAAAGCTTCATAGAGTTCATAGACATTTGGGCTGTAAGGGACCTCGGAAGATCAAGTCTATCCCCCTGCTCCAGGGGCAGGAAGTCAGCTAGGGTCAAAGGATCTCTGCCCTCTGCCTCACCTGGCCCTCCAAGCCATCCTTAGCTCTCCTCTAGATCACATTCACTCAGAAGCATAGGAAATGCATAGGGATCATGGGAAATATATAGCCCTCACTGGGCCCAAAATATGCATTTATACTGAAATCCCAACCCAGTCTCTAGGATTCAAGGTTTCATTTCACACAGATCAACCTCTGGGCCGTTGCTTTAGACGGCACACAGCTACACCCACACCATTACAGGATAGACATGAAAAGATTTTATCCTTGTGGACGCACATGTCAAACACCCATTACATCTAATGGGACACACGCACAGGAGCCGCAAGGAAACAAGATGCATAAATAGGATACCGTGTCTGTCCTGCGTGATTTCCAGTATGGTTATTCATGTGCAGTTCTAGCTCTGCTTGAACAGCACAAAATAATGGCCACGGCTGTACCTGGAAAACTGTTAAGGGGAAAAAGTGCGTGTGTCTGTGGGGGTGAGGATAACAGCTATCTGCTCCCCTCTAGTGAAAAACACTGCAATCTGGCATATTCTGTTGACTGTGAAAGCTTGTTGTGATAAAAAAAATAATTAAAGAGGCTGCATCAGCAGACGTATTAACGCTATGTTTGTGGAACATCTGGACAGCTAACAAAAATAATCATTGGTGCATTAGGGCTTTGGGTTTTTTTTCTTTTGCTTCCCTTCCTCCCCACATTTTGACGCTCTCCAAGACAGCACGGCTACTCATTGAGAAGTGCCAGGTAGGCACCTAGAGGCAGCTCATACTTAGACACTCGAGTGGGAGCTCTGAGGTTCTCAGTCCCATGGGCTAGCATCCACCTCTAGATCTAAAGAGAAAGGCATACAAAAAAAATACTAAAAGAGCATGCAATGCTGAGATTTCCGGCCAGTGCTTTTTTTTTTAAGCATTTCAAATATCCGCTTGCCTATGCTCCGGTTTGTGCCAGGCATGACTGTGAAAGGGAGAGATTACAGAAGCAAGTTGGAAGTTGATTCATTTGATCAGATGTAGGCACTGAGGCACTCAGACACTCACATGATGAGCACTCAGGTCCTACGGGGATAGGGATCAGAGTATGCCAGAGTGGGGGGTGTGCATATGGACAGCTATAGATAGGTTAGTAGGGAGGTACCTATGGGGATAGACAGATGCACCAAGGAACTGATCTTCCTGCCTTGCATCACTTTTAAGGGTTTCAAAAACTGAACTAGCTTCTGATAAGGAAACACGTGACAACAATTCTTGTGAGATGCGTCTCGCCGCACAGATGTCTTGGCGAGCATTCCCAGTCCTTCAGGCAACACCATCTCGTCTGCTCCGCTTACATACAAGCGCTGTCATTATCTGCAAAGCACGGGCAGTTAATCTTTATCTCATTATACGACTGCAAAGGTTGTGCTTTCCTCTAAGGCCAGCAACTCGGATCACAGGATTTTTAGAAGTTGATATGCATGGTGGCTATTTTTAATTACAAATGAGCCAAGCGAGGAATGAAAAGCATTCCAGAAAGCCAAGTGTTGCCTCACTCCTCCTTGACCTTCTCTCACTCTCAGAATTAACCCACAAATCCTGCCTCCCTGATCCAAGCGTTAGGAGCTTGGATGCAATTTTAATTTTTATTTTTCGCCTGGCCCATGTTGCTATGAAAGGGCAGGCCAAAATCCAAGATCTGAATTCGAACTGGTTGGGAATTTCTCACAAGGCTTGCCCAAAGGAAAAAGCTAATTCTTTACTGCCAATGCCGTTTGCAGGAAAAGGCTGGTTTGGAAGAGCTTTCCATTTGAAAAGCCCTTGAAGTTGTTGGAATGGGAGACATTTTCCAACAGCTGCATTGTTCAGCTCAAAATAATTTTTCATTTCAAAATGTATGTTAATTTCTAGTACAGAACATGTATTTTTAAAGGCACATCAAAATGTCATAATTGATTCTTTTTTTAAATGGCTGTTTAAATCATCTGTTTGCAAGCACTTTTGTGACTGATTTTTGTGCTAATTCAGGGTAGGACCCCCCCCCTTGAAACCTTGAACATTTTCCTAAACTGGGTAAACTCTGCTTCCTTGCTCCCCCTGCCAACTGCCTGAACTTTGTGGCTTGTCTTGAAAACACATCCCTAAGAAAGGAGGCAATACCCCAACGTTACACAGCAAATTGCGGAAAGCGAGGGGCAGCCTTAAGCAAAAAGGAGCTCCATCAGTGGCTGATATAAAGGCCTAAAAATCTCCATTTGATATAGCAGGAACAAAGATACGGCTCTATTTACTTACCAGCATCCCACTAGATCAGGGCCACATGGGAACATATTCCTTTGCTCATCTCATTTCGGGAGATGACGGGAGCCCCGCAGTTTCATAGATGTTAGGGTCGGAAGGGACCTCAATAGATCATTGAGTCCGACCCCCTGCATAGGCAG